CGCCCCCCGCCGCGGCACCGGCTGGGGACAGTCGCTTCTCCCGACGATCACCACCTCGAAGACGAAGCTTCCGACCACGAGGAAGCCGCGGAGACGGACGGTCCTGATCAATTTCATCTTCGCCAACTTCTTCTCCATCGCTCTCGTCATCTCCCTCCTCTTCCTCTTCCTCACGATCTTCCACTTCGGCATACCAGGGCCGATCTCTTCCCGCTTTATTGGCGCTAGATCCGGTCGGATCTCGAAAACTCGGAAGTATGTCTACCGGAGAACCGTCAACGACACCGTCTCCGGTGCCGCCGTTGTGGACATCACGACTAAGGATCTGTACGACAGGATCGAGTTCCTGGATGTTGACGGCGGCGCGTGGAAGCAAGGGTGGCAAGTGACTTACAAAGGGGATGAATGGGAGAATGAGAAGCTGAAGGTGTTCGTCGTACCGCACTCGCATAACGATCCCGGATGGAAGCTAACGGTGGAGGAGTACTACCAGAAGCAGTCGAGGCATATCCTTGACACCATTGTTGAGACTTTATCCAAGGTGAACCGATTTGATATCTCTTCTCTGGTTCCATTTCAGCTCACAAGTTTCTTTTAGCAATCAATAAAATCTAAGATATGCGTAGGATTTGGGGTGTTTATGTTCGTATTTTTGCAGATTTTCTTTGTTCGAGCTAAATCTTGAGTATTTTGAGAAGAAAGTTTTGGTTCCATAAGGTGTTGTTGTCGCAGATTCATTTTTAGTGCAAACTTAGGTTAAGGGGGTTCCGTATCTGGGGTTCACGTTCTGGCTCCTGTTGTTAGTTTGGTGAGAAGAGAGAGATAGATCCTCATGGATTATAATGCGAAAATTTGGCTGGGTTATGCCTAACTCCTGCATTCACATCTTGCTAGATTATGATTTTTATTATGGTGGTTGTTTAAATGTGCCTCCTAGGATCCTCGGAGGAAGTTTATATGGGAAGAGATGTCCTATCTGGAGAGATGGTGGAGAGACACCTCTCCTAGTAATCAAGAAGCGTTTGCTAACTTAGTGAGGAATGGACAGTTGGAAATTGTTGGAGGTGGCTGGGTAATGAATGATGAGGTATGTTGTTGAGCTTGTCTGATATACAATGCTTGTTCCTCTAGTTGGATAGAGATTGACTAAGTTTCTTTTTCATCCTTGGTGCAGGCTAATTCACATTATTTTTCCATAATTGAACAGGTATATCCTCCACTTCTGAACCTCTTGTTTTCTGCATTTGTGATAGAGTTGGTCCCTTTTGTTTGCTGTGGATTATTAATTTAACCTTTTCCGGAAACAATCATGTTATAGTGATTAGCCATTGATGTCTCTGTCTTATGTTTCTGTTTCAGCCTGCTGTTTAGTTTATATTTGCTTTCTTGTTAATTTCAGTTCACCGTTATTATTTACTTCCTTTGAGCTGAGAATCTTCTTTTTTTAAGACATAAAATTGAATTTTATTTAGGAATTGTACATTTTAGATAGTGCTAGGGAAACCAGGGTGCTTGGTTCGTTGTTCAAGTTACCTTATAAGATTAGGATCCAAAGGTTTCTAAGTACTTGGGAGTTGGGTCAAAAACTTTCTTCATATATGGATTCACGTTTAAGGATCTTGTGCTTCCTTTTACTAAACTTTCTTTGTGATGTTAATTATGCTTGTGCATCTGATTGTCGACTTCTGCTTTACCTCTGGCAGATTACGGAGGGGAATATGTGGCTGAACGACACGATAGGGATTATCCCGAAGAATTCCTGGGCAATAGATCCTTTTGGTTATTCGTCGACCATGGCTTATCTCCTCCGCCGAATGGGTTTTGAGAACATGCTTATTCAGAGGACCCATTACGAGCTGAAGAAAGAACTCGCAATGCATAAGAATTTGGAATATATTTGGCGGCAGAGTTGGGATGCCAAGGAAACAACGGATATTTTTGTTCATATGATGCCGTTTTATTCATATGATATCCCTCACACTTGTGGGCCAGAACCTGCAATTTGCTGTCAGTTTGACTTTGCTCGGATGCGGGGTTCTAAAAATATGTATGAGCTATGCCCCTGGGGAAAGCATCCAGAAGAGACCACACAGGAAAATGTCCAGGAGAGGGCATTAAAGCTGCTCGATCAATACAGGAAAAAATCAACACTTTATCGTACAAATACGCTTCTTGTTCCTCTTGGTGACGATTTTCGGTACATAAACATTGAAGAAGCAGAGGTCCAGTTCGGCAACTACCAGTTGTTATTTGATTACATCAACTCGAATCCCAGTCTGAATGCAGAGGCACAGTTTGGTACATTGGAAGATTATTTCAGGACACTTCGGGAAGAGGCCGATAGAATCAATTATTCTCTTCCGGGTGAGATTGGCTCCGGTCAGGTTATTGGTTTCCCTTCTCTATCTGGTGACTTCTTTACGTATGCAGATAGGCAACAGGATTATTGGAGTGGTTATTACGTTTCAAGACCTTTCTTTAAAGCTGTTGATCGTGTGCTGGAGCATACCCTTCGAGCAGCTGAGATCATGATGTCATTTTTGCTCGGTTATTGCCATAGAGTTCAGTGTGAGAAATTCCCGACAGGCTTTGCATACAAGTTAACAGCTGCTAGAAGGAATCTGGCTCTTTTCCAGCACCATGATGGGGTAACTGGGACTGCTAAGGATCATGTGGTACTAGATTATGGCACTCGGATGCATACTTCCTTACAGGACCTTCAGATTTTTATGTCTAAAGCAATTGAAGTTCTTCTTGGGGTTCGCCATGAGAAAGAAAAATCCGAACAAGCCCCATCAGTCTTTGAGGCAGAGCAAGTCAGATCCAACTATGACGCTCAGCCAGTGCACAAACCAATTGCTGCCCGTGAAGGAAATTCACACACAGTTATCCTTTTTAACCCCCTAGAGCAGACGAGAGAGGAGGTAGTGATGGTTGTAGTCAACCGTGCTGAAATCTCTGTCGTGGACTCCAACTGGACTTGTGTCCCAAGCCAAATTTCTCCTGAACTGCAGCATGACAGAACCAAGCCATTCACTGGCAGACATCGCCTCTATTGGAAAGCTTCAATTCCGGCTCTGGGTTTGAGAACGTATTACATTGCTAACGGCAACATCGGATGTGAGAAAGCTAGACCAGCAAAGCTGAAATATGCTTCGGAGTCCGACCCATTTCCTTGCCCCTCTCCGTATTCTTGCTCCAAAATGGACAGCAACGTGACTGAGATCCAAAATGAACATCATACTCTTGTGTTTGATGTCAAGGATGGACTACTGCAGAAAATAGTGCATAGAAATGGATCGGAGAATGTGGTGCGAGAAGAGATAGCTATGTACTCTAGTCCGGGGAGTGGGGCTTACTTGTTCAAACCAAATGGTGAAGCTGAACCAATTGTTGAAGCTGGTGGTGGGCATGTTGTGACCACTGAGGGCCCACTGGTGCAAGAAGTATTCTCATATCCAAGGACCAAATGGGAAAGATCGCCCATCTCACGTAGGACTCTTGTCTACAGTGGAGGTGATACCCTTCAAGATTTAGTGATTGAGATGGAGTATCGTGTTGAGCTTCTTGGTCTGGATTTCAATGATAAGGAACTGATTGTTCGGTACAAGACCGATGTTGACAACAAAAGGGTTTTCCATTCTGATCTAAACGGTTTCCAAATGAGCCGTAGGGAAACCTATGATAAGATCCCTCTCCAAGGGAACTACTATCCAATGCCTTCCCTTGCGTTCATCCAAGGATCCAATGGCCAGAGGTTCTCAGTGCACTCTCGGCAGTCTCTAGGGGTTGCGAGCCTTAAAGAAGGATGGTTGGAGATTATGCTTGACAGGCGGTTAGTACGCGATGATGGTCGTGGTCTGGGCCAAGGGGTGATGGATAACCGTGCAATGAATGTGGTTTTCCATCTTCTTGTGGAGTCAACCATCTCTCATACCGACCTAAGCTCCAGCCCCCACCCGAAAACCCCATCCCTTTTGTCTCATGTCGTGGGTGCTCACTTGAACTATCCCATACACACTTTCATTGCCAAAAAACCACAGGACATATCAGTGCGGGTTCCACATTATGGATCATTCGAGCCACTGGCCAATCCTTTACCGTGTGACATCCACATAGTGAACCTCAAGGTTCCGCGGCCATCAAAATACTCTCAGCAACAGATGGTTGAAGACCCTAGATTCGCTCTGATCCTGCAGAGGCGAGCTTGGGACGCAGCATATTGCCATAAAGCCAGAGTAAACTGCACGAGCGTGGCTGATGAACCTGTGAACCTGTCTGGCATGTTCAAAGATCTCGGAGTTTCAAAGGTAAGGCCGACTTCTCTGAATCTGCTGCACGAAGACATGGAGATGCTTGGGTATGATGATCAAGAGCTCCGAGATGATTCCCGGGAAGTACATATATCGATATCCCCCATGGAAATACAGGCGTACAAGCTTGAGCTACAGCCTCCAAAGTGAAAACACAAAAAGATAAAGACTGAAACAGACATGCTGGCGTGGTGGTGCCAATATAAAAGACAACGACAAGAGCCACTTGCCATGTACCGTTTCAAGGTTTGAGCGAAACCAAAGTGAACCGATCCAAGCCATTACTGCTTCTTGTTGGAACAAGAAAGACATTGAAGGTAAATCTCTCTCTCTCTCTAATCCAGCTTAAGGTAGATTAATTTTGCTTGTTTGATCAACATAGTGCAGAAGAGGAGCGAAAGTACATGATGAACACACTGCCCTTGTATCTAGAAAGCCACAGGAGGTAGATGCTTTCAGTAGTTTGTCATTGTTTTGACCAAATTATATAATCTCTGTGGTTATTTTTCAAACCTATAATGTCAATGTACTGTGTGGAGCACTATCTCTGTATGGTGATTTAATCGGGAGACAGTATCCTGATCCACGTAGAATCGGGCTTGGAAGTGGGGAACAGAAACATGGCTTGTGTCCCTCTGTGCTCTTATTCCATGTTTGTTGACACATTCATCTTATAAAAATATCATTTCTCAAGTCTCAATTGTAATTAGAGGTAAAATATAAGATCTTATTGGTTGATTAGATAGCACTTGAATGTGGTTACCAATAAAATCACCACCTTTAATGATCAATTAGTTTGAAGCACCGATGCCTTGATACTTTGTGTTGGTCCGTTGCCATTTTTATTTAATGTTTTTCCTTCTTCTTCGTGATATCTAATCACACCTTTCTTTAATTTATATACGAAAATGGATATGACCCATCCTCCCAACCCCCGCTCTCTTGGTTGGAGATGTCATTCGCAAAAGCACGTGTTTAGCCCACGTAAGCACGTGGTTTTCCGTGTCGTGTTATGCTGAAACTTGTTCTCTTGCGTTAATATCTCTTGTGCTTAGCTTTTTCTTTTCATAAATTTGTGGAATCTGTTGGGTTTAGTTCTCCGTCTGATGATTTGCGTTGTAAAAGATTGTTTTACATTATCTGATGACAAAAGAAACTTCAGAATACAACGTCGTCTATATCCGATTAAGCGTATTCCCTTTCCGGGACCAATCCTTTCACACTTATGAAAGCGTGTTCATCGTTTTCTTCTTTTGTGGGAAAGCAGATGAATCACAACACCATTGTATAATCTTCTTAAGGCCGCCTTGATTTGTATATTTATTAGAAGGATGACGATTACTGTGAATGATTATGAGAATTCAAAACATTAATTGCACTTTTTTTGGTTATTTACTAATCGAAGCCCTAAATATATATATATATATATATATATATATATATATATATACAGAATTTGCGAGTGTTTTATATTTCAATCTTTCTC